ATAAATGTGTAAAGACTAGTCGGATTTATCAGGATAAGAAATTTTGATTTGATTTTAATTGCTGGAAAAAATGACTTTGTGGTACAAAATTGGTACTAGAGAATAAAAATTTTTTTAAACTTTTCAGAAAAAAAAGAAGAAATATTGCTCGTCTCAAAAAATATGAAATTTCTAAAATTTTGATATTAAAAAAATTTCCAATTAATTTATATTGGATGTTCCCGATTCAATTCAGTTCATATTTAAACAAGTTTGTAATATTGTAAGAGACATTTTCGAAGAGCGCTGACAAAATTAGAACTTCTCCTTCCGAATTTGAAACGCCTGGAAGCATGCTTTAAAAAATATATATACAATAACAGTGTGTTATCTGTATTTGCTCTACAAATAATACTAAAATTTTTTTCTTTCTAAAAAACGAATTAAAATATTTTTACACACGTTAAAACAATGTTTTTCTTAGTTTTTGTTTTGCAAATAATAAACACAAATCTTATTCCTTTTTAATCCAAATTTAATGAGCTATAAACAAACTCATTCTTTATTGAAATAAAATTTATTATTATTTTACTATTATTTGCAATATTTTACGATTTGAAAAAAATTATTTTATATTTATGTGCTCGAGTGCCATAAATTTGTAAAGAATTGAAAAACCTGCAAATTTTCAAAACAAAAAAAAAATAAAAAATAAAAAATAACCCTATTTTATTTGACTAATAACTAATAATAAAAAAATATTTGAATTGAGTTGAAAAATATGCGTAAAATATGACAATTTTTTTTAGTACAAGCTTTATGAGCCGTCAAAAAAATAGCAATCATATTTGTGTGCATATTAAACTAAAATAATAAAAGCAATTCGAAAGCTTTCCAGGTTATTTTTTAACACAATCAGCAGCTCTTTGATACAGCCAAGCAACATTCCTACTAGAATGCCTAAATATGTATAACTTTGTACAATTTATATAAATATATATCCTGCTATACTGCACTGTGCTTGAAAAAAGAAACGACTTTGTATACAATAAACTCTTTATATTAAAAATATTAAACAACAATAACGCGAAGTTGGGTAAAAAAAGTTGGAGTGAAAAACTCTCGCATCAATTTGACAAATATTAAAAAGTTTGAGCAACATTTTTTCTGAGCAATTAACTGCCGCTTTCGCGTAGTTACAAATTAAAAACTTTGACATATGTAGTCTACAAGTGAGAGTGACACACCCGCTGAGCTGCCACTACAGCTTTGTTTGTGTATGAGCACAAGGCGGTACAGCGCATGAGAGGTGAAGCCAAATGAAGTTGGTCATACACTGGCGGCTAGTGCGTGGTGATATGAAAAAAATAAAGAAATAAAAAATACTATGAAGTGTTTAAAAAATTGTGCAAAAGTTTGTATGTGAAGTTTTTTTGAAAAGAGAAAAGTTTGGAAAACTCGTAACGGAGTTGAGTGGCCAACTTCGCTTGTAGTTTTGTTGCAACGAAATAATAATGTAACTGCAGACAGACAAGCTATTCGAGTCATTAAAATATACGTATCAGTAAATGGGAGGGGAGGTAGAGAAGTATCAGATTTGAAGTGTCTTGGTCTAAATGGACTTGAGTCTCATCGAAATCAAATTATATTTGCGTTAAGTTCAAAAAATCGGGTTTCAATTGAGAAACCTTATGCGATACTTTTCGGTTTATCTTTAGTTACTAAAAAATTAGGGAGTTTCCAGTTTTTTTGCTTGTATGTCTAAAGATCAAAGCTGACCTTGAGAAATGCTTAATTTTTTGCTCTTTTATGTTTCTTTTATTAAATTGTTGCAAATTCCTCGTGCACTTACTGCTGTGCCTTTTCAAAGTTTACACTGCGTTAACACACAAAGAGGAGAACCGTCGGCTTCATCCATCACTTTGCTTGCATTCATTTCGTCGTTTTCTCCTTTGCTGATGACGCCTTTAGTTGCATTCAACTTGTTGTCGTCTCAGTGAATTTTCGTTTCGCACTCTTTGTGCAGTAAAGCGTAAATGCATTTATTTACACTAGAAAAGGCCCATAAAAATGCACGAAATGGCAGTGAAAAAATATGCAAAGCAATGTTAAAATATAATGCATTAAAACATAACTAAAAATGGGCATGCAAATAAAGCGCCTAAACAATTGAATTAGTGCAGCAAAGCGAACTGTGAAACGTCTGGAAAAACTTTCGAACAACGGTGTTGTCGAGCACATATCTTAAAAATACACTTTAAGAGTAAAATTTCAATTTAGTTTAATTTAATATATTATATAAAGTCGTTTAATTCAATTGTATGCTACTTTATCTTTTACTTTATTTTACTTATTAACTTTAATTTATGTAATTTAATTAAACTTTGGTTAGTTAAATGAACCTTTATCTTCTTATTTAGTTGAATTTAATTTAAATTTTTCTTTTCTTTACTTAACTTTTTTTTCTTTCATTTAATATATTTTAATTTAATTTTATTTTATTTTATTTTATTTTATTTTATTTTATTTTATTTTATTTTATTTTATTTTATTTTATTTTATTTTATTTTATTTTATTTTATTTTATTTTATTTTATTTTATTTTATTTTATTTTATTTTTTTATTACATTTTTTATTTTATTTTATTTTATTTTAATTTATAATAAAATATTTAATTTAGTTTTATTATGTCTTAATATATTTGTTAAAATTTGTTTTATTTTACTTTATATGTGTTCCTTCATGTTATAATATTTTATTTTCAGTTAATGGAAATTCTTAGTCATGTGTATGGTTATTAATCGGTTTTGAGAGCAGAGCGACCTATGCTCACAGCAGCTATTTAACTTCCTCCTTCGAAAATCTATCCACAGCTTCATTAAGCCACATTTAGAAGTGATCTAGACATTTTGTGATTGATACGCCATTGTTGACATTAATTTGCGATGACAAATCAAATTATACTCACAACAGCAGCAACAACAAGAGTAGATAGAGTAGCGTGTTTCTGTAATTGCGAGAAGACGACTGCGGCAAATGGATTCCAAGGATAATGCTGTAGCTGCAAATTGCAATCAAGTCTCGTGGGTTACATATACACACATATGGACACATGTACACTTATATGTTTGTAGGTGTAACAAAAATTTCGGCCGACAGACAGCTAAGAAATTGAAGGGCAACCGAGTTGGAGAGCAAAGGAGGAAAGGTCAGTGAAGCGTCTAAAGAACAATGGTTAGCTTGTTCTTACTGCGTACACACACATTTAATGACAAATGTTTACGACGCCCCCTACAAGCTTTTACATAAAACCAAACACATGCAAATGTATGCCAACTTGTAGCAACAACAACAATTAGTGACTTTGAGAGCAGCAAACGAGTTGACAACGAGCGTATCAAAAACACCAAACGTCAGCTGAATTTGACAGCGTGCGGCAAAGGAGCGTCGGTAAGCGGCTGAGAGAGCGAGAGTGCAGGGTGCTGGGCGACACACGCATAATCCCGTTAACACTAACCAAAGCAACTGTCAGCTGGTGACAGGTAAAATGCACAGATTGTCGGTGTTTAGCGTTGATGCTTCTTCTTCTGCTTTTACTCATTTTTCCCTTGTTTTTGTCATATATACAATTATATGTATGTGTGAGTCAAGTGCTTAGAAGCATAACATTAATTAAGTTTGTAACGACAAATGCCAACAATGTCAACAAAAACATCCGAGAGCGTACTAAACTCAAAGCTAATGACTCGAGCGTGGGTGAGTTGAGAGGTTCCAACGTCAGTCGGTGTCACTTTTTCGGTTGTATGGCAGATGGTTGACTTGTCGACGGCAGCTGTTGTTGTTGCAAGGGAAAATAGTTGTTGGCTCGTTTCATTGCTTTAAGAGGGCATATGACTTTCTGGCGCAGAGAGAGAGAGAGTGAGGTTTGGTGGAGTTTGTCGCATGACAATATCAATTTTATGAACTCCTCGTAGTGCAACAAAGAAATGTTAGGATTTTTGGTAGACGGAAGCCTTTTGCATATAATATTTATGCTTACAAGAGTCCCTACAGCATTTGGAGTTGTTGCATATGCTACTCAGATTTATTTTAAGCATAATATTCATACTTCAGTTTTGCCCTCTTTAACAGGTACAATTTAAATTCATCATACTTTTATTTTTTTTTTTTTTAATTTTGTAAGTTAGTACTGGATTACGACTATTATATTTTTTTAAGGAAATTAGAAAGCCAAAAATTTACTGCAGACAGAAAGTTTGAAACATTTCAAATACAGTAGCAATTATTTAACTCACATTATATTTAATAAAGTTGCTTGACTTATATATGCCTTTATATATGTATTATATGTTACTTTTACCAATTATATTGAGTCTACCTGGTATGTGTATCCACTGCCTCCTTCAAATGCTTAGTTTATTTGAGCTTATTTGAGAAGTTTTTGCTTGTTTGGCCTCCTAATTTGCACATCGCAATGTCTATTTGCTTAACTGTCTTGAGTTAATGCAGAAGACGTTGCAATTACATTGCATTGCCATGCCGAATCAAGGCATTTATTTAACGTTGAATGGTGTTGCCTACTTTTAGGCGCTATGGCATGCAGTTAGTTCTACATATAATTAATATGGTTGTAGTTGTGCATTTTGCGAGCTGCGAAACTGTTGTAAATGAAAGTTTTATGTATATAAGAGTACAAGCGAGTGCAAAGGATACATAAGGCTTATGTATAGCTGTATTTATGGTGCACAACCAAGCAAAGCGACTCAAGCTTATTTGATTTATTCTTAAGATAACAAGAAAGTATTTACATTTTGAATCTTTAATTAGTTTGATTGCCAGGCAGAAGTATGGACTTTTACGAAAATAGACTTAATTCTTTAAATATTATACCGTTATATTTATTATATTTAACTAATATATATGCAATTAAAATTAAAAAAAAAATTATTATTCTTAGAAAATATACGAAATTAATGTCAACATAAAAAAATTAATAAAACTCATTTCTATTTTTTTACAGACCGAATTCTTTGTGTTTCTGACTCAAACATATATATACTTGTGAAACTCTTAATAAAAAGATAACGTGAAATAGCCATAATTTGGCAGTTATTTTGTGCTTAAAACGCTTTGTTGATGTGTTGAACAATTAACTGATGAAAATATGAATTACCAAAAAGGTAAGTTAACTTTTGAAAAAAAAAAAAAAACAAGCACATATTAATGATACTATATAAATAAATATTTTATGTAACTTCCAAGTGAAATTCTCTTGGAAGCCAATATTCATTCTGAAAAATATTTCATTTTAAGAATTAAATCTTATATATAATTTTATATAACCCAGAGATAGGTTTAGAAGTGTTGTAGGCCTTTGGTCGAAGTCCGCTTATCCGATGCATGTCTAACGATTTTTTTGTACTGGGTATCTGGAGCAGAGGGCAGGTTCTCGTACAATTAGTCTATATAAAGCTTTCAAAAGAAGTTACTTTTAAAAATCACCTGCTCTTCCAAGCTCACTCTTACACCCCTTTAATAGTTGGGAGTTATATAGGGGTATACTTCGAGTTAACTGCCGCTGTCAGTTGCTTACTAGTCCGAAACTAGTAAAAGCATTAGAATCCAAATGTAACGTTCCAGGACTTTGAGAGAGGATTGAGGTGGTGCTTCACTGTCCACTCGTCGTTCTTAGACCCGAATCCTAGCACTTGGATAGCCAGTGACTGCGGGGCTGTTAGCCAGAGCGCCCCAAAAACTGTAGGATATGTTACATTCCCTTGTAATTCGGCCTCTATCACACTACTTTAACCTTTTAAAGCTTTGGTTTGTTAATCGAGCTGCTCAGTCCATAAAACGAAAAGTTGAGAAATACGACGATGTAATGCATATTGTTTTTAAAAATTCCTCTGATTTATATTGTAGAATTCATAACTGCAGATATAGCTTTCATCTAACGGTATTTAAAATTAATAAGAAAGAATAGCTAACAAACAGCCGTCAGTGTTATTGAAACGATTTGTATTAGGATATGGAGGTAATCGACATGGCTTCTCAGATAAATTACTTATTTTTCAATGGCCAAAAAGATTGGCCATTTAACGGTCTCTTTTTATTCAGAAGTGGAGTGGCTCAAGTAAAATTTCTCTTATGTGCAGAGAATGAGAAGGAGGTTTACTTTTCCAATTTTAGTTGAAAGTCGTCCACTGCACGCTTGGCACTCAAACGAATCATAATCAAGCAGAGATAATTTCTTCAATGTCCTTAAACTTTCAGTTATCTTGAGAACACTAGAATACTTTGGTATGTAGAGTTAATGCCTTGAACAGACCTGTCCAGTCTCGGTTCATCAAAAAGTGCAAGTACAAGACCCGACTAAAGATCACATGTAGCATCTCCAGTGTCATTATATCGAGATCTCAAGCTTTGTTTAATGGCCACAAGAAAGGTTAGAGAAGTATCCCTACTAAAAATTGGTTGGTTCTCACTTAAAGCACATCCGAAAAGTCACTTCGACTGAAAAAGTTTTATTTAAATAGTAAAAAAAGTATTTTAGACAAATTTGGAATATATATAAATAAACTCTGGCAAGGGTATAGTATTTGTTTTGAGTAATTGGGCGGCGCATAATTACTTTTTCTCCAACGAAAAATACGTTTGTTCGATTAAATAACAGTTCCCGCCTTTAATTTATAGTTTCATAAAGTTTTTTGTAGTTTTAAAACAATGTATTTGTTGTAACATTTTTTTTGTCAATATTTAGTCAATTTAAATATCGACTTTTGCTGCAATTATTAAATGCTTTGCATCAATACACACACACACACACCCACACACATTTGCAGTCATATCGACAAGTGAAGCGCATGATTCTCGCTATTTTTGCTTTTGTCCACATTTTTTTCGATTTGCAAAATTTCATACAAACAAAATATTTTTATTGCAAATTTTTATTATTTATATTGCATTTTAATATTTTCCGTACACCAACTGACTGGTCAATTTACAGTCTGTCACATTTGACTGCAACTGCAAATATGACGGGCGAAGAGAAATCCCTGCTCCTGCTTCTGCTTCCTGCCCGCCACAAACGCTTTAAAGTGCTTTCCGAATGACGAAATCTCATGTTAAATCACAGAAATGCAACACGATGCCATGACAACAACAATTACAATTTCAACTAAAATATTAAAGGGCATATGTAACGGTCGACAAAAGAGCAACTACTCGTACTACATTCTAACACACATACACGTACAATAGCCAATAGCGACTGATGGCCAATATGGCGTAACGAATTAATATGTCAATATAAGTGGCCGACCCCAGACCAGACTTGAAAACTCACATGCATACATACAGACATAGGTCAAGTACAATGAACATTGAGGGAATTACAGTTAAGTGCGCGAGTATGGGGAATTGTGTGTATGTCGCTGAAAAAGTCGACAAGCAGAAGTGTGAAAAAATGCTGAAAAAAGTCAGCAGCAGAGAACAGATTGCGTTTTGTCGCGCAACTGCGACAGATTTGTAAAAATGTATGCAATATATATATATATATATAATATACTTATATACAGTTCACACATCTGAATGTGTATGTGTTAGAGCGTGTGTTTTAATTGTTATTGTTTTTGTTTAAGAGGTTTTGTTTTGCATTTTGTTTATTTATGATTTTATGTTGATTTACTGTGCGCGCAGATTTATTTAATTTTTTTGTTTTTTATTTTTGTTGGTATAAAATAATATTTTTACGGTTCAAGGTTTCCAATTCAGCGGAAAGAATAGAGAGCTGAGAGGGAAGCATTGAATAAAAAGACAAATTATGAGCTTCCAATAACAAGAGTCGATGACAATTTTTTTCAAGAGTTGGAAACCCTTTTTTGTAGCTCAAGCACAATTTGTACTAAGCTGCGCAAAGTAGTATTGAAGCGAAAAAGGCTACAATTAGTGAAAAAGTGGCAGAAATATTTAAATATCATTTTTCCTAGTCCATAATTTAACAGCAATTACTATCACTTTTCGGCTGTGTAATTTAGGATTGCAGTGCAAATTTAATTATAAAGCAGAAAATGGCAGAAAGTGTTTTGTAGGTTTAACAAAATTCTAGTTAAGATAAATGAAATCAGAAATTCATTAATTTAGTGCCATAATACCTTCCTTCTGAATAACATATTTTTTTTTAATTCCTTATGACTTCAATTTAAGCTTTCAAATTGAATTCTTAATTTTAACAAATTTTGCTACGAAAGTGAAAAAATTGAAACAAAAGTTAGTTATGAAAAAAATTCTTGCGAAGATCTTCTCTTAAACAATCGATTACTTTCCCTACTCAACGTTGCCAGTTTTCTTTTATTTTACTCAAAAGCAGTGGCTTACTATGAGAAATTTCTTAAACTTCTTAAAATAACTAAATTTTCTTAGCCTCAATCTATTTATTAATATTATGAACGAAAAACTTGACAGCACAAAATTTGGCAAATTTTCAAGTTAAAATTTCAAAAAAATTACATAAATAAAAAACTCAGATCACGTTCATAGGCAACCAGAACTGTGCACGTTGTCTGTGTGATTTTTTTCCCAAACTAATTTCTACTTGTCTACTGAAAAATATGGCAAAAGAAAAATGCTGCAATGCCGCAATAAGAAATAGTCAATAACAATGCTACAAAACCAGTTCTTCACGAGCTCTTAAATTAAATTAATCTAATTCAGTCTAAAACAAAAAAAAAAAAAACAATATAAAATAATATCAAATAAATAAAATAAAATAAAAAAAAATAAAATAAAATAAAATAAAGTAAAATAATATAAAATAAAATAAAATAAAATAAAATAAAATACCGTGCCTTAATATATATTTATGATATATATAGTATATATAGAATTTTCTGCTAGATCTGCGGTGTTTTTCAAAATTCTATGCCTTCCTTACTATGTCCTGCATAAACTCTACTCCATAATCACGAACTCATGTACATAACCATTTATTGACTTCATTTTTTGTTGCAATTTTCTTTAACATGCAGCATGCATTGTAAAATTGTAAAATTCCAAAACGTTTACGCATACGACGCAGTGGTTTCAATTAACGTATAAATTAAAATTAACATGAGCCAAAAGCGTAGCAATAACATATAACGAATAAACAAGTTTATATACACCCAAGTATACCAATGTGTTGCAGTGCGTTACAACATTTGCTTGCAACTAGATGCATTCAGTTAACAAATTGAGGGCCTCACACCACACCCTTTTAACCAGCTTCAGCTGCCTGAGAGTATGCTCCTGCTACTGCCTCATTGCTTGTGGTTGGAAGCGCAGTAATTTGCGAACTTTCCTTTCTCTGGTGCATGTACTTTTCGGGGTTGGCGTTAAATTGGTTTGTGCATTCGCTAAATTTGACCGAACATCGAATGATGGCTGTAGTAAGCTGATATCTATTCATGCTGGCATACATATGTACAAGTATGCGTGCAAGTGTTGCAGTTAATTTTTGCTTGCTGCATGTATTGGTTAGCTCATAAAATGCCGCACACATGAATTACGAAACGAAAATCGGCCTAAACGATTTGCTGCAGCGCCAAATTGGTCAATGAGGCAACACCAGTCGTTGCATCCGAAAAATTATAATTTTGTCCTTCACATACAACCATGATGTTTTTGCTGTGCTATACTGGGATTTTAGTAGCATAATAACACAATTATAAGCTCATGTGAGGCAATCACTTTCCTGCCCCTCAGTTGGTTGGCTAAATATGCCTCATCATCAATTTTTGGTCTGACCGCCCATTTCGGTCATTAGAGGCTTAAGATTTTGTCAGATTTGTGTGGTAATTTGTGGAAATAATTTTATTGCGAATAATTGAGTAAATTTAGTGTAAAATGATAAAAGGATTGTGTTAAATACTGGTGTTGCACTAATTTGCCTTTTTTGTTTTTGTTTTTGCTGATTACTCATAGTGAATTTGCGGAATAATGTGAAATTGTGCCTAACTTTTTAGAGTATTTAATTTAGGGTTATAAATTTTTAGGACTAAGACTTTTGCTGCCCCTTTTGATGGGGTGAAATTAAGAATTTTTCCACAAAAAAAAAAAAATTAAAATGAAATAAAAACGTAATCCCTTCCACATAGAATTCAGTTCAACGCGTAAAAAGCAGTATCTGCTTAATGTCTTGACA